GTTGCACACCACAATCCCCCTGACCCACACAGCAGCACCGAAAGGAGAGACAGACACCGCCCCCACCCAGGGGAGGCTGAGGCCCAGTCTGGGCTGGGGCTCTGGGGACACCCGTACCTCCTCCCAAAGACCCCTCAGGAGGGAAACCGCACAGGGATCTCTCTCTGCCTTCGCCCTAGAAATTTATTAGTCAGTTCTCAGGAGGTCACAGCTCAGGTGGGGTCTGATCACCCCCAACTCCAAGGTCCAAACAAGGGTTCCCTGCCCAGGGCGTGAGGCTGACCTGGGCACACCGGCAACTCCCAGGCCTGAAGGAGGTGCCGCTTAGGGAAGGCTCGGCGCCCCCAGACCCAGGCTGCACTCACCGGCAGGGGCCGGGAGGGGCTGGGGGAACACAGTCCCATCTGTCCCAGCAGCGGTACAACCTCCTTAAACCAGGGCAGGCAGGACCCACGTGCGGTGTGGGCCCCGCCGCGCCAAGCACGTCCGTGGAGACGCAGTCGGGGTGGGGGCATCCCGCTCACATGTTGGCCCGCTCCCGCTGCAGCCGCGAGTTGTAGGCGCGGGACACGGTGTTCCAGGCGTCCATGTAGCGGTCCATGCACATGGCAATGCATTTCTGCGGGCGAGAAGGGGGCGCGCGGCTCAGCCCCGGACCCGCCCCGCGCCGCGCCGAGGCTGCAGACCGCGCACGCGCAGCGGCCTCTTCCCCGCCGCCCGTTAACCCGCACACGCGCAGACGCCCCCCCATACCTCCCCCGGTCGCGACCCCGCGACGCCCACCCCAAGGGGCTCACCTGCTCCGAGTTGTCCAGGGAACCCCCCGGCTTCCCGATGCACTTCCGGAAACATTTGTCCGTCATCCTCTGTGAAGAAACGCGAGGCCTCAGTCGCGACGCCCGCCCTCAGGGGCGCCCCCGGCCCCGCCCCCGGCCGCCCCGCACCTGCAGCAGCTCCTGGGCGTTGGCCACGGCGATCTGCACCTTCACCTGCTCCATGATGAGCCCTGGGTCCAGCTTCCCGCTGCCCGAGCCCCCGAAATCCGAGCCGAAGCCGCCCTCCATGGCTCCGCAAAGTCAACAGGGCCGAGGCCGCGCGCGCCGACCCGTAGCTGCACCGGAAGCTGGTCGACCGGGGCACGACGGGAAACGGAGTCCAGAGGGGCGAACTACAACCCCCATGAGACTGTGCCCGCCGGCCCGTAGCCGCGCCGGAAGTGGGCGGCCCGAGGCACGACGGGAAACGGAGTCAGGGCGACACAACTAACTCCCGTAAGGCCGCGCGTAGGCCCTCCGCGCATGCGCAGGCGAGCCAACCATCGCCCACGAGAGCTTGTTTACAGTGTCGAGACTCCGAGGCGGAGCGGGACACAGCACTGGCCCCGCCCTCGTCCCGTCCCGCAGGGCCTGCTGCGCGTACGCACAAGACGCCGGGCGCGCTGCAGTGTCGAGCCAGGAAGCGGTCACGTGACGTGACTCGGAGCCGGGCCGCGTGGAAACTCGACTGGAACTGACGCGGACAGGACTCTGAGCACCGCCGGTGGCTGGGGTCCCAGACAACCCCTTCACTAGGGACAGAGGCAGAACTTAAAACCAAAATGTTTATTGGAGTGTTGTACAAAAAAGTTTCCAGTCATAAAATGTATATTACAAATCATTGGGGGAAAAAAAAGACCACACATTTGGCATGCATCTTAAAAACCAACGAAATCTCTGGAAGTCTCTGCCAGCTCGTAGTTCTCACAGTCCAAGTCCACCTGCAAGTTGTGCTGTGATGCTCCGTTGGATGCGTGGATGACGACGCTGAAGTGGCGATGCCGTGAGGACTGTGAGTCCCGCTCAGATCTTTAAATACAACTGCTGTCCAGGGGCAGGTTATAAACAAACCCAAGTCAAAGCCGTCACTGGCGTGAAAACAGGTATAGGATCAAGTTGGGTTCTGACGGCAGGGCTCCCGGGCTCAGTGGGCTGACCCAGGCCTGTGCCCCGAAGCCCGCTCCAGCAGCCAAGGGCCTCCCTGGCCAAGGGTGGGCCGGACTCTGAAGCCTCCTCAGGAAGAGCACTGTACTGGGAGTCGCCCAACATGGACTCGCACAGAGGGACCGTTTGCAGCGCGTTGTTCTAAGTGGCACACAGCTAATAAGCTGATTTGAGAACAAGTACAAATTCCATTTCCCAGGCCAGCTTTGTGAAATTGGATTCTGCTGTTTACAAATACTTTATTACCAATGACCACCATTAAGCTCCAATCACCAACTGGCCACCCAATTAACTCCCACCCGACCCCCACCAGCTACGGCACCCCCAGCACCTGGGCCACTTCCAGCTCTACTTGAGGCAAATGTGGGGTAAGGACCCAGACCAGCTTGGAGTTGGTCAGACTCTGCCTGGAGCAACCTCTGTGCACCCAGGGGTCGGGGGGAGGGTGTCCGTGGGCCTGGGACGGGGGCTGTGCCGCAGGAGGGGCCCGGCAGTCTCTCTGGACAGCTGGGCCTTCTCCCTTTGTCCCTAAGGCCGGCCTGCAAGTCTGTTTCAGCAAATCACAGACCCAACTCCAGGATATGGTGTTGCACCCCCAGGGGCCCCAAAATACATAGGATGTGACTGAAGCCAGTGCAGAACCCACTACATGTCAGGACCACCAAGACCCACCCTCCAAAACCCCTGCTTGCACGAAGGACGGCTGGTCAGGTCCGGGCAGTTCCTGCTTTGAGGGTGGGGAAGAGGGGTAGCACCTGGAACCAGCGTTCCTGCTTCTCAGCGGCCCAACAGAGCCCTGCCAGCCCTGGCGGACACACCCCCCCCGTGGGGTAGGGGGAGATGCACCCACCAGGGCAGGCAGAGCTCCCCACAGACCTACCTGACTCAGAGCACAGTAGTTAAGCCTGTCTGGACCTTCCAGAAGGAATTGCTTTGGTAAAACACACTTCCCGCAACACCGGGAAAGAGCCCACAGCCCGGGGAATGCAGTCACCACAGAAAAAACCGGGGACTTCTGGAAGCAAGGGCAGCTGGCAGATCCTCAGGCGCCAGTGTAGGTGCAGCAGCAGCAATTTCACCATCAGCCACTGGCACCTTCCCGGCCTGGGGCTCAGGCCTCCAATTCCCTCCTCACCAAAAGCAAGTCCCCAGGGAAGCCAGACATGTGACTCAGCAGCACCACCTGCCCTGCAACGACCGTGAGGCCCAGCAGAGCTGGGCATCGCACATGGCTCAGTGTTGCGTCTTTAAGACTCAGCTGCACTTTCAGAAGGAAGTTTGCCATTGGGGGGGGACCCCGCACCAGCGCCTCCCCCTGGGGGGATGGCCAGCCTGCCCTCGAGGCCCTGGTGTGAGCCCCTGAAGCGGGGTCCCTGCAATCTGTGTACTGACCAATGTAAAAAAATAAATATCCATTAAAAAAATAACTTCTGTGTATCTATGTGGGGGGCGTAAACAGGAAGCTATTGCCAAAGGGGGGGCGCTGGGTGGCTGGAAGCTGGTCTGGGGTTGAGCGGTCGGGATGGGAGGCAGCTGGCGTTGGCATGTCTGTCTGAGAAACAAGTTCAGCGAGAAAGTTACAGGTAGAAGCTACAATACCGATATATGCGTATGTACACATAGGAGACCACACTACACACGGCGCCACACAGGGAGCCAGGGCGCGGGCCAGCGGGCCGGGCCCGCCCTAAATCACTCTCCTCTGGAAGGGTCAGGACTTGGCGGTACCGCAGACAGCGGTTCTGAAGCTCAAGGCCTCTGCTCCGGGGTCAGCCACCGTGTCCCCTCAGCTCGTCCCCTTCCCATTTATCATCCTGGCAAGTCTTAGAGCAGGACTGTCCCTGTGTGTCCTTTCTCCTCCCCCGTTGGTCCTGCAGGGTTAGGAACTGAACTGTAGAAAGCTCCAGAATCAAGGCCCAGAAAATAGAATCAAGGGTCAGAGACACCAGCCTGCGCCCGCGTCGCCAGAACAGAAACCACTATGAACTCCCTGAATACATCTGCCCTGGAACCAGGCTGATCCCACACCGTCAGCACCCGACTCTTGGTCGCGTGGTGGGTTCCCGCCATGGACAGTGGCAGCCACGACACAGGCCGGGCCCCTGCCCTGCCAGGTCAGAACCTGGACTCTGAATTTGGTTTTTAAAAAGCTTTAAAAAAATAAAACCCACAACCACTGAATTCTTCGGCAGTTTCTGCTCTCTACCCGCTGTAAGGCCCAAGGGGCCATTTCCTGTCCCCTCCCGGCCCAGCCTACACTCGAGGCAGAGGCAGCAAAGCGGCCCCACCAGCCCTCCCAGCCCCCAGGGTCCTGGCCCTGGGCCTCAGATTGAACCACACGGTGAAATCGGGGGAAAGTACTAAGAAAGGTCTCCTGGCTAGTGGTGGGTGGTGACAGGGAGGGTCCGAGGGCACCCACCGTGGGAAAGATCAGCAGAGGCCCACACCCACGTCCTGGCAATTTGCTTAAAAATTCTCTAGAAATGTATCAAGAAATAAAGAAAGCCAATGATATAAAAATAGTTTTCAGTGGCTCTGGGCAAAGAAAGATGTGTGAATGAGGAGTGCTGAGTTCACATCACGCGACAGCCTCTCGAGGTGGTCCTCGGGTCCCCCTGCAGGAAAGACGGAAGGACGACAGTGGTCAGGCCAGGGGTTGGGGGGTGCCGGGCTCACCTGGCCAGGCCTGCAGCTGGCTGTCCCCACCGCGTCCTCCCTGTTGGGGAGGGGCTGGGCCAGGTTGGGGGGCTGAGCACCACAGGAAACTTGGCTCACAAGGTGACAGGCTCAGCAGCTTCTGCCACAGCAAACCCTATTTCCAGAACCTTCCATTTCTCCATTACCCTGATTGTAGGCTACATGTGTGACTTTATGTTCCAAAAATCAGAGGATTGCTATGATGTGTGCATTTAATACAAGTGTGGTTTCTAGACTCTCCCTCTCCCTCCAAAGCCACTTTGGTGACTGGTGTCTTAGACTAGAGGGAGTGTGGTCCTAGAGAGTCCAGGAGCTGTACCCAGCATTGCTATGCGGCACAATTGGCTTTTCAACACCTCGCCTCCCAGGGGACCCCGGGCCCACACCCTGGGGTCCGTGATGTCCCAGCATCCACACGATGGCAGGACCAAGGAGGCAGGGACAGTTCCCCACCCGAGCCCACCCGTGCAGGCGCTCAGCAGAGCCCAGCCCCTGTGGCCCAGTGAGCATCTCACCGGGGTCCAGCGAGCACAGCGTGTGTGCATGTGGGGTGCGTGCATGTGCACGTGCGTGACCCAGCTCGCTCTGCCCTGATGCTACCCCGGCTGCCAGTGGACATGGGCCCTACCTGCTGGTGAAAGAGATCCTCCTCGCCAAACTCCGCCTCCTCCTCCTCTTCCTCCTCCTCCCCGTTCTCCCGCGCCACTGAGGACTGCTTCACGGCCCTCACGGCCACTTCCTGTGCGAGACGAGAGCCACCGACACTCAACACCCCCAGTGCCAGACTCCCAGCCCACGTCGGATGCTCTTGTCGGGGCACGACCGGGCCGCGGACACCATCCTGGGATCAGGCCCAGAGCTGCCATGGCTCTGCAGGCCCCTGGGCTGCAGCCGGATCCCACACCCACCTCTCCGTCAGCGTTGACCAGGACGGTGCGGAAGCTCTCCCCGGCGCCCCAGCTGGTCTGGCTCTTCCACACAAGGGTCGACGGGGGGCTGTGGGCCACCCCTGCACCAGCTGCCCACACCTGGGGACCCAAGAACACTCCCCGTCAATGCCACCTCTTGTCCTGGGGATATGAGCCAGTGACTGGCCGCCTACCACACAGCCCCCTTTAGTGCCTCGGCCGTTCAACCCTTCTAGTCTGGCTTGGGCTTGTCCAGGGATGACAGTCCCCAGGGTACAGGAGAGACTAAGGTTCACATTGACCAAGTGCTCTCGGCAAACAGGGGCCGAGCTGGGGTCTGAGGCCTATCAGGCTGTGACTGTCACGCTTCACACAGACGCCAAGCATGCTGCTCAGGCTCTGGGAAGGCCCAGTGGTGCAACTGTGGCACAGCCCTGGCCATGTCCTGAGTCTGAGCCCCTCCCGTACCCACTCATGCCGCCAGCGGCCACCCTCGCCCTGCCACCTACCGTGACTGTCTGGCCGGCCCGCAGGACGTACTTGGGCGTGAACTTGTAGGCGATCTCGTCCCCCTCCAAGATCTGCCTCTTGATCCTCCAGTTCCCCAGAGACTGATCCTGGAAAAGGCACCACATGCTTGTCACGTGCCCGCCGGGACAGGGACTCCGCGGGGCCCTCCCCTACCCTGGCCCGGGCGCAGCATTCCGGCACCTTGTCCGAGTTGTTCTTCAGCTGCACGAACTTGCCCTCCAGGTCGACCTCCTCGATGGTGACGCTGCCTGAGGCCGAGGCCTGCTGGGCCAGGTGGAAGCCGCTGCTGCTACTGCTGCTGCCCAGGCCACTCGAGCTGCTGCCCGGGGACTCCTCCGCCTCGAGCCGCTTCCGCTTGCTGCGGCCCGGGCGCCCAGCCAGCGCCACGCTGCTGCCACTGCTGCTCGAGGTGGCCCTCGAGATGGTGATGCGTGAGGACGGGCTGGGGGACAGCTTCAGCCTTGGGGAGGAGGAGGAAAGGGAGTGGCTGGCGGTGGGAGCCCTGATGGCATCAGGTCCAACAAGGTCATAAAGGCGCTGTCACCTGGCCCCTCTGCCCCGCCCTGCCCCACCTCTCCTCCTCGCCCTCCAGCAGCTTGCGGTAGGCGCTGATCTCCATGTCCAGGGCCAGCTTCACGTCCAGCAGCTCCTGGTACTCAGCCAGCTGCTGCTGCATCACGTCCCGCATCTCCGTCATCTCCTGCTCCTTGGCGTCCAGCATCTTCCGGAACTTGTCCCGCTCCCCAGCCACGGCCTCCTCCAGCTCCCGGATGCGGTCCTCAGCGGCACTTGCCTGAGGACGGGGCAGGTGGCCAGGTCAGAGCGGCCAGGGGTCACAGACATGCAGCCAATCCCCAGTCTCTTGTGGGGCTGCCGAGGAGGCCCCTCAAGGGAGACCAAGCCCAGAGGACGGGGGGCCCAGCAGCACATGCGGAGGAAGGGTAGGGGACATCGCCGGTGCCACGCGGACTGTATCAACCGCCAAGAGGCAGGAGAGCCCTGAGCCCGCACACTCCAGGTGACAGCAAGTGGGGGGGGGTCTCCAGTGCGTCACCTGCTTCTGGAGGCTGGAGAGCTGGTAGCTGAGGGACTCGACGCGCATGCGAGCCTCCTTCAGCTCCTCGCGGGCGGCGCTGGCTGCCTTGTCGTTCTGGTCAGAGCTCAGCTTGGCGTTGTCCAGCTGCGGGGAGACGGGCGGGTGAGGGGCAGGTGCTGGCCGGGGTCCCCAGCGCCCCCCGCCGCCATGCCCACCCCGCCGACCTTGGCCTGGTAGGTCTGCTCCAGCTCCTGCCGGTACAGCCGCACTTGCTCGTCGTGCTGGCTGCGCAGCTCCTCCAGCGCCTGCGCCATCTTGAAGTCGTACTCCTGCTGCCGGCTGCTGTCCACCTCCACCAGGCGCCGCTCGTGCCGCCGCCGTGTCTCCCGCACCTCCTGGGGACAGAGCCTGGTGACCTGGCTGCCGGGGAACACTCCCAGCACAAGGCCCAAGGGAAGGCTTCACAAGGTCCCAACTGAGGACCTCCAGGCAGCCACCCAGTTCCCCGTTCACAAGTCACCACCGACGCGCTCACGGCAGCGCAGCTGTGACTGCCACAGACTAACGCAGCCCAAATGCCCATCCACAGACAGTGAACAAACCCAACACGGTCCCTCCACACGCTGGAACATCACTCAGCCATGAAAAGGGATGAGGCTCTGACACGGGCCACAGCGTGGAGGGACCTTGAGGATGCCGTGCTCAGTGAGAGACGCCAGACACAGAAGGACACACAGTGTGAGACTCCATTTATATGAAATGTCCAGAACAGGCAGAGCCACAGAGACGTGGACTCGTGGGTGCCAGGGGCTGGGGAGGAGTTAAGGGCTGACCGTTGTTGGGGACAGGGTTTGTTCTGGGGGTGATGGAATGTTCTGGAATAAAGTGTACAATTTAGTGCATAACCCTGTGGAGATCTGACAGACACTGAATTGTAGACTTTAAAAAGGTGAACTTCATGGTGTGGGAATTAGAGGTCATAAAAGCTGTTATTTAAGAAAACGAATTACTGATGGTGCCCCCCCAACCCCGGCCACGGGCCACAGTGGCCCGACCCAGAGCTCGCGATCCATGGGAAGGGAACGTCCCCTTCTTACTGCACCAAACTCCAGCACAGAAATCAGTCACTTGTCGCTGTGTGACTGGTTCATATGAACAGCAGAAACGCTTGAGGGCTGCAGCCACCTTTCCAAACAATGACGGAGGCTGGCAGCCCAGCCCCGAGCCCGCGGGCAGCTCGCACCCTCCCCGCCGCGCTCGCGGACACGCAGCTCACCGCGCCCCACGCAGGCCTTGTCCTCTGTCCCATGCCCCTCGGGGGCCCCTTCCTCAGGGGGGGCTTCAGGGACCCCTTTTTCACTGGTTTCTTCTTGGGTTCCTGCAGGGGCCTCTTCCCAGGTCCCCTCTCAGGCTTCTTCAAGGACCCCCTCTTCACGGGCCGCCTCCGCGGTCCCCGCACGAGCTCCATCAGGGGCGTCTTCGCGGCTCTCCTTGCGGGTGTCTTCAGTGGTCCCCCCTTGGGGGCCTCCACAGGCTCCCCAGAAGACTTGGGCTCCTTCACCCGTCTCTCCCCAGGTTCCCGCTCAGGCTCGGGTCTGGGTCCCCTCACTGGTTCCCCGATGGGTCCAGGTCCCCTCGCAGGTGCGCTCAGGGGTCTGTGCGCAGACTCCCTCCAGGGTGTCTTCTCTGGCTCACTCACGGGTCTCTTCGTGGGTCCCCTCGCAGTGGCGCCCCCAGGTCCACTCACAGGCTCCCCCGCAACGCCCCTTGCGGCCTTCTGCCCGGCTCCCGTGGCGGCCCACTTGCTCACTGGGCCTGGCCGCAGCTGGGCCTTGCTCCCGAGCTGCCAGGACATCCTCCCGCCGACAGCTCTTCCCGGGCAGTGCGTGCAGGAGCGGCCCTGCCCCAGCCAGGCATTCTGCTCTGGCAGCGACAGCACAATGGGCTCTGTGACAGATGGGGCCGGAGGGTCTCACGGGCAGGGGCTCCCACACCACCGCCCAGGGAGCCGCAGGCCCAGAGCTGAGGTTGGAGGGTGGGAGAGGAAGCAGTTAGGCCTCACCCCTGCCTCTAACAGGGAGGCCTTGGGGTGGCTGAATGGTGACCCCAAAAACATGTGTCCACGTCCTGACCCACGGGACCTGTGACTGTGATCTCATTTGGACACAGGGTCTTTGCAGATGTAATTAGATCATTCCGGACTATCCGGGTGGGCCTTGAACCCAAGGACAAGTGTCCCTCTAAGAGACACACAGAGGATGGACACAGGAGGAAGGGGCCACGTGGAGACGGAGGCAGAGACTGGAGTGATGCGGCCATAAGCCAGTGATGCCCGGAGCCCCCGAAGCTGGGCAGGCAGGAAGGACCCTCCCTGGCGCCTCCAGCAGGCACGCAGCCCCGCGACCCCAACTTCAGACTTCCGCCCCCAGAGCCACGAGCGGATGCTGCTGTTTTAGCCACCTGGCATGAGGCGCTTTGCTCCGGCAGCCCCAGGACACTGCTGCAGCGAGCCAGGCTGACGGTGGGCCCGACTCACCTCCTCAAACACGTTCTTCCGGAAGTCGAGCTCCTCCTGCAGGCTCTGGCAGCGGTTCTCCAGGTCCACGCGCATCAGCGTCTCCTTCTCCAGCTGCTTTTTGGCCACCGCGTGACCATCCTCTGCCTGAGAGACACAGGACAGCAAGCGGAGGTGACAATCTGCCTGCCGCCCGTGCCCTGCTGGGACGTCCTGTGGCCACCACCCACGCTGGGAGCGCGAGGGCACCAGGAACTGCCGCGGCCTACCTTGGCGAGCTGGGCTCGCAGCTCGGCCACGTCACTCTCCAGGCTGCGCTTGTCACTGAGGGCAGCGGCCAGCTCCGCCTCGCTCCGGTGGAACAGGGACTCCAGGTCCTTCACGCGGCCCTGGGCCACCGTGAGCTCGCCCTCCCTCTTCTTGGCGCTGAAAGTCGAGAGGCCAGGTTAGCTGGGCGAGGGTGGGGGCACACGAGGGCCACTGGCCCCAGGGAGCACCTCAGGCAGTGCTGGGCAAGCTGGCCAAGGCACCAGGAAGCCCAAGGACAAGGTCGCCGGGGCCTCTGAGCCCAGGGCACTCAGGGTTACAAGGGCCCTGACGTACCCGATCTCGGAGAACAACAGAGCCGCCTGCCAGGGCCACAGGGCCACGTGCCCCCACATCTGCTCTGCACCCCGGGAGCCCCGCAGGCCACACACGCAACTGCCCAACACCAACCCCGAGGCCTGGGCGTCCATGTCCTTCCTGGCCAACTTTGGACACAGGAGCGATCGTTTGGGAAGAACTTGGGTTTTTAAAAAAAATTAATGTACATTCTATTAAAATTAAATGAAAACTCTGGCCTTTGTAAAGTTGGTCTTGTTTGGGAACTTAAACTATTTTACGCGGCTCACCTGGTATACCATTAAACCAAATTATTTCCAACATTAACTATTTGAGATAGCAAACATCCAGATCATTTTAACATGCAAACGTTAACGGTGTGGACTTTAGGCTCTTGAACATTTGCAAATGTAATTCTTAATCTTGGGGTTGAACATTTACTCCCGACCCCCAAGGAACAAACTGTGCCCCTTCCAAGCAATATATGGACACCCAGTTTCTCAACGTCACAACTGCTGACACTCGTTCTCTGGGCAGGGGCTGTCCTGGGCCCTGCAGGGTGCTGCGCAGTGTCCCTGGCCTCCACTCACCCCATGCCAGGAGCACCCCCCATGTCGTGACAATCACACATGTCCCAGATGTCACCCTGTGTGCCCTGGGGACAGAATCCCTCCAGGTTGAGGGAGCAGCACAGCAAGCTGCTGCCATTAGCAGTGGACGCCACACCCAGGTGGCTCAAGCCCGAGGCCAGAGATAAGCGCTGGGGCTGCCACTTCTGCCACCACTTCCTTTACACGGGCCACTCGGGCATTTGCCCACTGATTATGCTACTCCCATATCTTCACATACTGCTAGCTGCCACGCGCTCTCCCTGCCGAATCTACATTCCTGCCTCTCGTGAACCAGGGACGGAGGACGGCCGTCCCGACCCCAGCGCCCTCCCTGCCCGGGATCTGTAGTAAGTCTGAACTTGCCGTCTCGGTCGCGTGCTCGATCTGCACCTTGCGACAGAAGCAGCAGGGGCTGCCCGGCCAGCCTGCCGGTGCCAGGGCGATGGTCAGGCGGGCATCCGCCTGTGCAAGTAAGTTTCTGAGTGAGGAACCCGTGGTCCGGAGTTGGACAAACCAGGCATTGGGCTCCCGCCAAGTAAAAACACCCTGTGACAGGCGAACTGCAAACGCCACGTCTGTGCCCTGCATTTGCCACCGGGGCAGGGCTGCCGCCGCTGTGGCACTGTGACCCCTGTCTGGCTGGGGGCTCTCAGAATGCGGGAGATGCTGCATCAGTTTGTGTGAGGTGGGGCGGCATCGAAACCAGTGACGTCAGCCACAAAGTCGCCCACATCCCACGAGGGACACTAAGCCCTATGTCCAGGCACGGCGTGCACCTGCACTGAGGGTCTCGGGGTGCAGCCCACCACAGCCCCGAGCTCACGCTCACAGAGGGCTGCAAACCCTGCATGCCGGGTGGATCTTCACAGGGGCTTGGGGGAAACTGGAATCATCTGTCTGACAAATCCTGCCTGAGCCGGAGTGGCAGGCACTGTTCTCACACCACCGATGCATCTGGATCCACACCCCGCGTCACACCATGTGTCCTCCCGGGGGGGCGGGGGGGCGGCCATGGCAACACAGCTGCCTGTCAGATGGAGTCTGCGTTTCGAGGATGCCAGAGCAGGGAAGGAAGACAAGGCCTGCGTGTGGGCTGGGAGGTGATCCTGGGGACAGAGACCTGAGGCGGAGCTTGGAGGAGCCTTCCAGGCAGAGGGGACGGCAGAGCACAGGCCTGGGCTTGAGATCGCTCAGACCCGGGGTGATGGGAGCAGAGACACCAGGGAACCCAGGAATTCCTACACAACCCTGTCTAAGTCGCGGGGCTCCACAGAACTACACGGCACGACCCGAAGGCAGGGCGCTGCCTCTCGCCGGCCTAAGCGCCTGTTTCTTAAGGGCTTCGAGGTGCTGAGCAGCTTCCTCGACCGTGTGCCAGCCACTCCGGGGGTGGTGTGGCGGAACCTGGCTCCCCAGGAGCCACCCGCACTTCTGTCATCCCAGGGTTCTGGCTACGAACTTGTTAGGAAAAGAAAAACATGAGGTGCAACCGTCAGGAAGGTGACTGTCTGGGGCTACGGGAACGAGGTGGAGAAAGATAGCAGCGCTGGGGGACGCCACACCAGAGACCTGCAGATCAGGACTCCTCAACGCCCAGGTCAGCACAGTGTAGTATTTTAAAAAAATTTTAACAGTGGGGTGAAATTCACAGAATATAAAATTCAGTATCTTGAGTGAACAGCTCAGAGGCATCTGGAACGTCCCCCACACTGTGGCCTCTGCCTCTGTCCAGGCCTGCATAGGGCTGCTTTGATATTTTATAGCTCACATAAATCCCCTTTGAGTCGTATAATTACACCAGAGTCCTGCAGTCCCCAGGCTCTGCCGATAAAGCTACTTACTAACCACGGCAGGTGCAGGAGGCGGACGGCCCGGAGCCACGGCCCACTCAGGCCCAGCCGCGGGCCCCAGTTGCTCCTGCGGGACAAGGCGCTGCGTGGGACACACCGAGAGCAGGCCACATTGTGCCTGGTCCCTGGGTCCCCGGCTCATGGCCACCATCCGGGAGCAAATGGTCCCTACTGGAGCCTGGGCCCCGCAGGTGGCTTCTCTTGGAGAAAGGAAGCCGGCTCCCCAGAAGCCAGCGGCCTGGGCAGATGGAAGACTGCCCACCACCCATCCGCGGTGGTCCCGGTCATTATGTTGGCCACACTCCAATATGGGAATGACACGGATTCCCAAGCCGTCTGGCACTGCTTCCTCAGGTCACCAGCCGCACTGCCAGCTCCGGGGAACCCTCCACCAGGAATGCTGCGCCCCTCCTGGCAGCAGCGGGGCCTGGACTGCTGGGTGCAGGGCTCCGGGGAGAGCAAGGAGCCAGTAGGAACGCCCGTCCCTTCCCTGCTGATGTGGAAAGGGCAGATGGAGAGGCGCTTGAGGGTGTGTGGACGCTGGCAGCCAGAGGCTATGGCAGGCAGTGTCCGAGGGCAGGTGCGGGAAGCCCGAGTCTAGGCTGAGCCCGGTGTCCCGCAGGCCCCTGTGGTGCCAGCAGATAAACACGCCTCTGTCTTCACTCTGAACTGCCTGTCCCCAGTGCCCTGTGCCCAGGACCGGGTGAGTCTCGAGGAAAGGCTGAGGAAGGCAGCTGCTCCTGACAGTGGACACAGCTGTCACCCAAAGGGAAGTGGCAGGGAACAAGAACAGCCTAAGTGACCCATGACTGCCCTGGCCACACATCTGGATGCTGGGGCACCCAGCAGGAGGACAAAACCAAAGAACGTGTGACACCAGGGAAACGTGCACGGACGCCCCTTGAGGTCAAAAGCATCTCACTGCCGTGCACTGGGCGTGGCCTGTGTCTGGATGGCAGCGCGCGCAGCTGCGGCCCTGGCTGTAAGGAGCCCAGCCGGTCTCTCCAGGAAACTACCTACGTTTCCCGCGTTCTGCAGTGACCATCTACGACTTTCACAGAAGCAGAAACAAGGTGACTTGCCAGCCGCTGGCAGGAGACAGAGGACAGGGGAGGTCCAGGCTTAGAGTCAGTGTCGCCTGGGGACACCAGCCCCAGCACCTGCCCAGCGGAGACCACTCACCTCTTGTTGACCTCCTCCAGTTCGGCCCTCAGTTTCCCCAGTTCGATCTGCAGCCGGGCGCGCTCTCGGGCCGTCTCGTCCAGGACCCTCCGGGCGTCAGCCAGCTCCGACTCGTACAGCGCCTTGATGCCACTCACCTTGGGAGACACAGCCAAGGTGAAGGCCAAGGAGACCCTTCCCCCAGGCTGGCCACTGGCACTGCTCAGACCCCCCAGGTTTAATGCACAGAGCAAGAGGGTGACAGCCAGGGACACCGAGCAGCCCCACGGCACCGTGCACAAACCCGGCAGAGGGGCCCCTCCTCCGTGGGGACCCTCTGGGACGATCTATCTGCCCTCCCCACGCCCCAGCCCCCAGCACAGGGAGCTGCCAGGTTTGGGACCCACAGCAGCACCCCTCCACCAGGATGGCACCTGCTCCCTCAGTCAGAGGCCCCATCGGCCACGCAGCCCCTCAGCCGTTGCCATGGCTACAACAGGCCTGCTCATTACGTACACCCTTCACGCTCCCAGTTTCTGCAACCAGAAAATCGGTGTGAACGTAAACCCAGGGTCTCTCCACTCCCCACACCGTGGACACCGGGCCCACGTCTTCTCTGGGGTGGGGCGTCCTGGGCACCGCACAAACCCAGCAGCGTCCCTGCCTCTACCCGTTCCATGCCGGGAGCACCCCTCCCCCAGTCTCCAGACATAGCGCAGGGTCCCATGGTCACTGGTCTAATAAAATGTTTCTGCTCCTACAAAAGCCACTGTTTGCACGGTGATGTGCCTCAGGCAAGAGGACGGTGCTGTCACCAAGCTCCCGGGTGGCCATCTGTGGATGCTCTGCCTGCACTCGAGCTCTTGCCACCAGGACTCTTGCCACTAGGACGGCAAACTCAAGCTTCCATCTGAGACCCAGCTCAGCCTCCTTTCCTGCGACCTCCCCTCCCTGCCCTCGAGGCCAGCACGTCCCTCTGTGTCCCAGCCCACAGGCATGCGGAAGCTCCTGGGCAGAACCCCCCAGCCCCCTTCATTGTGCTCTGGGGCCGGAGTCCCCAGCTGCTCACTCCACCAGCCACCCCGACCTGTCCCCACAGAGACTTGGCGCAGCCATCAAGGCTGGGGGGAGGAGGGGGGACTGGAAAAACCAGGGTCCACCAGGGCAGGCAGAAGGGACAGATGCCCTCCAGGCCACCAGATGAGGAAAGCCCCTCCCAGAGCCTGCTGCTCACGAGGCCAAGTTCAAAGCCCAGCTGGCGGTTGGAGCCGGGCCCTCCTAAACCCGTCCCTAATGAGGGCCCTCTGGGGGCACTCGCATGCACACGCAGCCCGTGAAAGGCGACTGCCTCCATTCCTAACCCCGCCACGACCACAGCTGCCACCTGCGTGGCCTCCCCATGTGCTGCCGCTGCCCAAGTCACACACGCCAGCTGGGAGCACGGCTCGAATTTCCATGGCCTCCTTGTCCTCCCCCCTGCCCCACGAGACCATGCACTTAAATGTGTTTAAAAATATGTGGAACCGAACCACAGGGAGATGCCACTTCACACCCACTAGGGCACTGACCAAAACAGTCGCAAGTGCCACACAGATGTGGGGAAACTGGAGCCCTGGCGTGTGGCCGAAGGGGAGGGAACACGGTGTGGCTGCTATGGAGAGCAGGCTGGCGGTTCCTCTGAAGGTTAAGCATGGAGTCCCCGTAGGTCCTAGGTGTGTACCCAAGAGAAATGGAAACACGTCCGCGTATGTTTGAAGCTTGTACACGGACGGTCACGGCGCCATCCCTCACAACAGCCAAAAGGCAGAATCACCCGAGCGTCCACCAGCGTGAAGGCATAAACCCGACAGGGTCCACCCACGTAACAGGACATCACTCGGCCACAAGAAGGAAGGAGGCTCTGACACAGGCCGCAGCATGGAGGGACCTTGAGGACACCGTGCTCCGTGAGAGATGCCAGACACAGGAGGACACACAGTGTGAGACTCCATTTATGTGAAACGTCCAGAACAGGCAGATCCACAGAGACAAAGTGGATCAGGGCCGGACGCGGTGGCCTCACGTCTGTAATCCTAGCACTCTGGGAGGCCGAGGCGGGTGGATTGTTTGAGCTCAGGAGCTCGAGACCAGCCTGAGCAAGAATGAGACCCCGTTTCCACTAAAAAAAATAGAAAGAAATTGTCTGGACAACTAAAAATATATAGAAAAAATTAGCCGGGCATGGTGGCGCACGCCTGTAGTCCCAGCTACTCGGGAGGCTGAGGCAGGAGGATCACTTGAGCCCAGGAGTTTGAGGTTGCTGTGAGCTAGGCTGACGCCACGGCACTCACTCTAGCCAGGGCAACAGAGTGAGACTCTGTCTCAAAAAAAAAAAAAAAAAAAAAAAAAAGGGGATCAGGGGCTGGGGGCACTGAGGGTGACAGCTGATGGGAGGAGGCTTTTTAGTGTGATGAGAAAGTTCTAGAATTAGAGGTGGTGGCTGCACAACTCTGAATATACTAAAAACACTTAACCACACAGTTTGATTGGGTGAACCGTACGATATGTGAACTGCTACAGCTCTACGTGGTGCCAACAGGACAGACAGGCTCTAGGATGACACACAGAATGAAGCCCAGTGTGGCCCACCTGGGACGCTGTGCCACTCCCACAAACCTACAGGACAGCGAGCCTCTGTGCTTGGGGGCCCCTAGAGGGCCACCTCCCCCTTTACAGACAAGGCCCCTGAGCAGAGTGGGCTGGGAGCTGCTGAGGACACGCCACGTGGTAGGGTGACTAACTGTCCCAGTATGCGCAAGACCACGGGGGCTCCCAACGTGGGACTCAGTGTTCAAACCAGAATGTCCCAGGCAAATCCAGATGGGGTGGCATTTAACAGTCAGTCTGAGCCCGGCTGGTGGCCCCATAAGATCGTGATACCGTGTTTCTACCGTACGTTTTCTGTGTTTACATACGTTTAGACACACAAATACTCGCCACTGCGTTACGGTCACCTGCACCTCAGAGCCACAGGCCACACCGCTAGGTGTGCAGTGGGCTGTGCCGCCTCGGTCTGGGTAAGCACACTGTGATCGCGCAACGCAGCCGCCTAATGATGCGTTTCTCGGAACACGTCCCTGCCGTTATGCGACACATGACTTGTATCAACATTTTGCTCGTTGCAGATTTTTGGCATTAATTGTGATTTTTAAAAATGTTGCATTAAAGTATTATTCATCCCATCACCCCAGGCTGACCATGAGAAAAACACGAGACAAACCCAACTGAGACGTTCTGCAGGACACCGGCCAGCCCCCTCAGACTGTCCAGGGCATCAGAGACAAGAAGTCTGGGAAAATGTCACAGCTCAGAGGAGCCTGAGGAGATGTGACAACTGATTGTCATGTGGGATCTTGGGTGGGTCCCCAGGGCAGGAAACGACACCAGGGGAAACTGAGGAAATCTGAACAAATGATGGGTATCAGTTCAGAGCGTGGTGCTATTTTTTAATCAGGCAAGTGTCTACAGCCAGGTCTGCCAACTCTGGCCCCAGGGCCAGCTCCCGCCACCGTTTTGCCCACACTGCAAGCCCACCACGGTTTTCACATTTTTAAATGGCTGGGGGGGGAAAGGAAAGGAAAAAGGAAAAGATATTTTGTAACACAGGCAAATTCAGCGTGTATGAAGTTTTACTAGCACACAGCCACGGCCTAAGGTGGCGCCACCCTACGCCAGCGGAGTTGAGCGGTAGAGACCGCCCGTCTGCAAAGCCAAAAATACTGTACTGACTCCCTGGCCCTTTCCAGAAAACATCTGCCAGCGACAACACCCAGTCTGCAGCACTGTGATGACACTGAAGGTTCCTGTCCAGAGGGGGACGCAGCTCACAAAGACCCTTTCAGCCCAGGGGACAGGTGCGTGCCCGGCAGGACCTCACTGCCTGCACGTGTGAGGGCTGCGAGGGGGACGGGGACGCTGTGCGCGTGTCGGGCTTGAGGAATCCCAACAAATGTGTCGGCATGTGTGGGCCTCGGTGGGGAGGCGATTTGGATAACCCGAGATGGCCTTTTCCTGGGATCCCAGACGCACAGCGTGGCACAACTCGGCTGCAAGATGTCACCAGGGGACAAAATTGCCCTGGTTGAGAACTACGCCTCTGCAGGGAAAATCCAGACACCAGCCTGGGGCCACCTCAAAAGCCGCCTGCTTCCACCACTCTCCCCCAGCCCAGCCCTGGCTCCGAGCTCCCTGGGTCCACCTTGGGTAGCCCTGAGCAGCCACCGGACACCCGGGGCGGGGGAAGGGAAGAGAAACCGAAGCCAAGTTTCCTCCTGCAGGAACTTAACACCTCCCGGGCGGCTCCCTGGGTACCTGCCTCTCCCCCCTGCTCCCGCCGCCACCCCAGCAACCAGGGATCCTTCTCCCACAAACACCCACCTCGCCAGCCCCCCACACCCTCCAGTGACATCCGCACGTGGCCAAAAATGACGTCGACTAACGTCACATGGGAAAGGTGCCGAATTTACACGGGGTCCTGGTTTTGTGCGTGACCAAGCATGAAAGGAAGAGAACTGGCGTGGACGGGGAAAAAGTGGGCAAGATGTGCACCGATGGGCAAGACGGGGGCATGGCGGGGTCTGGTTCACCTTTCACACCAGAACTTGAATTGTACCACACCTGTTGTCGTTTATGAAATATTAGAGGCAACTTCAAAGCATTCCTACAGCGATCCTCCACCCCCAGCAGGGCTTCTCAACCTTGACACTGATGACACGTGGGCCGGGTAGTTCTCTTCTCGGGATGCAGAGCAGGGAGCATGCCTGGCCTCCACCCACGCCACGCAGGGGCATCTCCAGTTTTGACAACGACAACCATCTCTAGCCCGGGTCAGATGTCCCCTGGGGGCAGGACCCAGCCAGGTGAGACCACTACTGTGCAGGTCAAGTGCACATTCGGAGGCACCAGACACCCGAGGTCCCTCCTACTCAGAGCCGCCTCCCATCCCCTTCCTGCCAGCCTGGGCCCAAGGCCCCCTGAACCCCACCGGGCCCACCTGTCTAGAAGGCCCCCACTGCAGCCCCCAGCCAATGCAGGTCCCCCCTCTGTACAGCCCAGTGATGCCCCCTCCTCTCCCCAGAGGGTTCTCAGCGCCCCCCACTGACCGGCAGGTGGTACTCACCACCTAACCCCCGGCAGCCGGTTCCTGGACAACTGGCACTGGGTAGATCTCCCAGCTGTCCCCCTGCAGACACGGCTGGACAACAAGGCGGCAGTGACACCTCAGGGACTAGGGCCCCCCTTGTTCCCACATTCCAACCAGCCTGAGCCAGCGCAGCAACAAAGGACAACACCAGCGCTGCCCGGACAGGCGGCCGCCCAGGGTCCCTCAGGCAGGGCGCTGGGCCCGTGGGGCTGTGCCGGTGCCTCCTGAGCGCTCACCAGACTCCCCCTCTAAAGTCCCTGCAGTTGTTTGTTCCACTTGCAGGTGGGACAACAGAAGCCCAAAGATGGCAAGAAACCAGCTCAGACCCCATGTGCTCACGGGTCCGGCAGGCGGGAATCGGGCTGCGTCCTGCGGCCGGGACGATCCTCCCACCACTGGACAGGTGGCAAAACCAAGGCTCGGAGAGACTGATAAAGCAGGGACCCGAACAGCTAGGACACAACCACCAGCCAGGGACCTTCGGCTTCCCAGAAAGCACGGCTGCCTTCTTTGAGCTCCCTGTCCCTGGGGCACTATTAAACCAAGATAACAGAACAGCCCTTTATCTCATTGCTTTCATCTTACAAAACAATCCTTGTGGCAAACAACTCCAAGACGCAGGTATTGCAATCACACCCACTTTAAGGGTGAGAACACTGAGACCAGAGAGGTTAAGTGGTTAGCCCAAGGTCACACAGAGGGTAAACGGCTCCTTTCCTGAAGCCCACTACTTGGCCCATTCCCCAGATGAGGACGTGGAGGCTCAGAGCCGTAAAGCCCAGCTGTAGGGCCTGGCTCTCCCATGGGGACACTGGGACCCAGGTGCCTCGACGCAAGGTAGGAGCCAAGTGAGGGTGCTCCTGCCTGCCCCCTTATTCTGAAGACCTGCCCTTGGACTGGGCATGGCTGGGGGAGGAAGAAAGAGCCTCCTGGGGATGAGGCTGGCAGCAGGGGGTGCGATGAGGCTGGCAGCAGGGGTCCCCACCCAGGACAGGTCCCACACAGGACCCCAGGACACCAACACTCTATCCTTTTGGGAGGCGGGCTTTCCTGGCTCCTCCTCCCTCAGTCTGCACTGAAGTCCCAGGCCCACCTGGTACCCCCAAACCCTCCAGGAGACCGCAGACCTCATGTCACCCCCTTCCTTCATATTCCCTTGGGGGCAACCTGTATCCTCACGGCCAAACTAAGGGCCTCTCAAGTTTCTCATGGGAACCCCACAAGGCATCAGAACCCCTCCCTCAGCCCCCCAAAGATGGAGCTTTCTGCCTAACCCCCACCCAGTCGCTGATCTCTCAGGGATTCATGGGGGACCCCCCCAAAGTTCCATGGAGAACTGAGGCCACATGACTTGCCCCAAGGCCCCTCCATAAGGCCCTCTAATGCTCCAAGAGCCCCCTCAGAGGGCCTGAGCCCCCCACTCTCCTTGGAGACCAGAGACTCACCCACCACTCACATACCCGAACACCCAGATTCATTCCTGGAGAACCCCTTATCCCTTAGGGGTGGGGGTCTACCCTGGCTTATACCCCCTCAGCCAGAGGATCCCCCAAATCTCCTTGGAACCCTACGATGAACGAGGCACACAGGAGACTGTACCCTGATACTCAGGGGACCCCTCTTTGGGTAGGGCGCCCCAGTCTGCACCCCTCATGCACGGGGCCTTAAAATTCTGAGGACCCCTCTCTGCAGCTCTCACTCAGGGAGCTAATAAGTCCTTGGACCCCCTAGGTAGGCCAAGCCTGCCCCGTCTGCACCCCTCACTCGGGGGGGAGCCCTGAAACATCTTGGGGGAGCCTCTGAGAGGACGAGGTTCAACCCCTGACCCCCTGCTCAGGGGTCCCACGAGATCGCAGACCATTCGGTGGGCGGCACCGGTGTGCACCCCTTACTGACGGCTCCCCCGCGAAGATCCCAGAAACGACGGGCCCTCCCCGTCTGCAGCGCCTGCTCAGAGGTCCCCCGAGATCGTGGACTCAGCAGTAGGCGGGGCCTGCCGGGTCTGCACCCCTCGCTAGGGGCCCCCCAAATCCCCCGAGAGGATGGGGCCTGCCCAGCCTGCACCACTCGTTCGGAACCCCCCGGGAACCCCTCAGAGAACGGGACCCCTCCTCGCCTGCAACCCCGCTCACGGGTCCCCCACGATCGCGGACCCCGCGGTGGGCGGGGCCTGCCCGGCCTGCACCCCTCGCTCGGGGCCCCCCGAATCCCCCCGGGAGCCCGCCGGCCCGCGCCCCTACCTCGCGCGTGGTCACCTCCTCCTTCTCGGAGATCTTGAGCAGCAGCCGGTCGTTCTCGAGCTCGAGCGCGCGGACGCGGTCGATGTAGTGCGCCAGGCGGTCGTTGAGCTCCCGCAGCTCCTCCTTCTCCTGCAGCCGCGACAGGCGCGTGGGCGACAGCGGCGTGGCGGGCCCGCCCGCGCGGCCGGACAGCGGCGTGGCCATGGCGGCGGCGGCTCGCGGCCTGCGCGGCTCCCGACGGCGGCCCGGGCTCGGCGGGCTCATTCAATCCGCGCCGCCGGCTGCAAGATGGCGCCGCGCCGCGCCCGCCGCCCGCCGCCGCGGGGCAGCCTGGGACTTGTAGTCCGGTCGCCGGGCGCGCTGGGACGCGCCGGGAGTTGTAGTCTCTGGCCTGCTCCCGCCCGGTTAAGTAGTCCGGCGGGAGACGCGGCAGCGCGGCGGCAAACTCCAGGCTCGGCCACTAGGAGGCAGCATTGTGTTGCTGTCTAGTGCCTCAGTTTCCCAACTAAAAGAAACAAAAAATAGATTGGTGGACGGTTGGTTTAGTTACTTTCCTCATGGAGTTAAATGCACGAGGAACATCCTTATCATGACTGCTCAGGTTGGCTGGGCCCCTCTGGGTTGGTTGCTATGAATCTTCCGGGGTGTTTGTTTGTTTAGAGATAGAGTCTTGCTCTGTCGCCCAGGCTGGAGTGCAGTGGCATCATCGTAGCTCACTGCAGCCTCCAACTCCTGGGCTCAAGCCATCCTCCTGCCTCGGCCTCTACAGTAGCTGGGACTACAGGAGTGTGCCACCATGCCAGGCTAATTGTTTTTTCTTATTTTTTTAGGGACAGGGTCTTGCTATGTTGCCCAGGCTGGTCTTGAACTCCTGGCCTTAAGTGATCCTCCTGCCTCGGGCTCCCAAAGTGCTGCAATTACAGGCATGAGCCATTGCGCCCAGGCGTCCTGGGTTTTTTGGAAAACTTACATCCTCTAAAGTTCAGTTTGATTATGTGTCTCTCCTGCAAGTTCTGCCCGTCACCTAGAGTGACTCCATTCTGGTTGGGGCTGGTCTGTTGGGGACTAGCTCAGGAACTTACTCCAAAACAATGGCCTTCCCCAACTCTATGCTAGTGATGTTTGGGGACCAGGTCCCTCGATGTTGTGGGGTCTGGAGGTAAGCACCCTCCACCCAGTTATGACAGCAAAATATGTCTCCAGACTTTGCCACATGTCACCTGGAGGGCAAAATTGCCCCTATTTGGAGAACCACTTCCTCTTACCCTAGAACTGGCCGGGTGTTCCTGCCTGGAGAACCCCTCCTTCCCTCTAACCTTAACCCTAACCCCTTGGGGAGCTCAGCTCAGCCTCCCTCAGGGACCCCAACAAGTCACACGCTGAGCACCTACTGAGGACGTGGGGGAAAGTATCCACCTTCATTGGACACCTAATATTCACTGCCTAACATTCCTCTCTCACCAAATGGGCCCCAGCCTTGGGGTGCCTGGCTAGACTGTGACCTCCTATCTAAGGCCCTGATACTGTTTCGTTCCCTCATAAGGGCAGGAATATAAAATATAAAGGCAGTTGGTAAAACGTGAGAAGCTTTAAAGCAAAATATGAAATATAATAAACGATACTACAGGAGGTGGGGGCCAGCGGGGAGAAGAATGACAGGTTTGGAGATGGCATGGGGTCCCTTTCCCACCCTCCATCTGCACCCCCTCCTGACCACAGCCTTGGGCACAGGCCGACCTGACCCCCACTCACCTGCCGTGGGAGGCCCTGCAGGTCCCACCCATGTCCCACTCCAATACCCCCCGCACCCCCAGGTCTTTGCCTGGGCTGTTCCCTGTCCCAGGAGCGCCGTTCCCGTCCTGACTGCGCGGGCCTGGGCCTCAGTCTTGCGCTCTGCAAACTCGGGTCTCGAACCTACTGCCGGCCCTCCCCGTCTCGGCGCTGGGTAGGGGCTGGGGGGTACCAGGAGCCCTCCTCGCGAGTCCCCTGGACTCCAAGTCCCAGAAAACCCTGCGCTTCCCGTGGGTGGGGCCCGGGCCTCCCCCTCAGCCTCCACCCTCCGGACCCGCCCCGCGCAAGCAGTTTGGGAGGCGTCAGGCAACTTTCAAATCTTGGCGCCCAGCGGGAGGGGCGGCGACAGCTGCGGCCGCGGTCACCCCCATCCCTACCTCCCTACTCCACCAACTGCCCTCGCTGGGGGGGAGCCCGAGGTCTGGGACACCCCGCAAAGCTGGCCCGCCCACTCCGCGGGCTCCCCAGGCACGGCATGCGACGGGACGGGAAACTGAGGCACAGGGAGGTTGGGGACCAGTCAGGGACCCCGTCACCACCACCACCACCAAGCCCCTGCCCCCGCCCCCGGCAGGGGCGTGGCAGAGGCAGGATCCGAACGCGGGACACTCTGAGCCCCGGGGCGCTACAAAGTTAATGGCTAATTGCTGTCCGCTTTGGGGTTAGGGGGTGCAGGGTGAGACATCCCTGACCCCGGCCCGGGAAGCCCCCAGTCCGGAACAGTCCCTCCCTCCACCTCCGTGCCGCCACTCTCGCCCGGCGCTGGATTTCGGCGCCAGATTTTAAAAAAATCTCAGCCCAACGGCTGCCGCTGGCTCCCGGCCCGGACGACAAGGCTGGATCAGGATTCCGGAGCCTTGAGGCCAAACCTGGAATGTAGGATCAGATGGAATTCAGGGACCTGGCGCTGGAGCCCTGTAATCCCAGCAGAGATCTGGGAGGCAGGCAGGGCACTGGCGCTGGCTGCTCTCTGTGAAATGAGTGGCTGGAGTAGTGACATCAACAGATAGTGACTGGGGGCATCTGCTCTGCCGCAGGCACCGGAGAGGCAGAGTGAGATATATGTTGTGCTAGGAGATGGTAAGTACAGAGGAAAAATAAAGTGGGGTGAGGGGGCTGGGGAGTGTGTGGAGTAGGGGTTGCATTTTTAAATAGGGTGGGCCTCTTGGAGAAGGAGGGGAAAGCATTCCACGGACAGGGAACAGCCAGCACAAAGTCCGTTTCCGGGACACAGTGGATACGGCAATGGATGAGAACTGCCCGTGGGTAGGGATAGATAGGAAAGAAGGAAATAGATTGGGCGTGGTGGCTCATGCCTGTCATCCCAGCACTCTGGAGGCCAAGAAGGGAGGATCGCTTGAGCCCAGGAGTTTGAGACAAGCCTGAGCAAGAGGGAGACCCCATCTCTGCTAAAAATAGAAAGATTAGCCAGATGTGGTGGTGGGAACCTGTAGTCTCAGCTACTCCAGAGGCTGAGGCAGGAGGATCGCTTGAGCCCAGGAGTTGGAGGTTGCAGTGAGCTGTGATGACACCACTGCACTGCAGCCTGCGCGACAGAGTGAGAGTCTGTCTCAAAAAAAAAAGAAAGAAAGAAAGAAAGAAAAGAAAAGAAAGAAATACACATCATGTAACATCAGTGTATTAGTTAGCTATTGCTGTGTAACAAACAGCCCCAAAATATAGTAGTAGCTTACAATTCACTTTTCTTATCTCACAGTTTCTGTGGGTCAGTAACCTGGAGGTGGCTCAGCTGGCTGGGGTTCTCTGGCTCAGGCTTCAACGGCTGCCACCAAGGTGTCAGCCTGGGCAGTGTCTGCTTCCAAACTCAGTCACACTCTATTGATAGGACTCAGTTTCTTGCAGGCTGCTGGACTGAGAGCCACAGGTCCCTGCTCCATGTTTTCTGGGGCTATGTCAGTTCCTCATCCATATAAGAGAGAGGGTTTGATTTGGGTTTTGAAACCTTCGCTGTTTGTAATAACAGGGAAACAAGAACTGAAAACAACCCAAATATCTGTAGATAAGAACAAACAGACTAGTACCTTGATATAGATTCACACGGTAGAATATTATGCAACAGTGAAATTGAATGTAGCCAAAGCCTGCCGGCAACCACCAGAGAGGAGCATGGAGTAGATTCTCCCTTAGAACCTCCAGAAGGAACCAGCCCTGCCAACCACTTGATTTCAGACTTCTGGCCTCTAGAACTGGGAGATAATATATTTCTGTTTTTTTTAAATCCTGCCCAGTTTGTGGCACTTTGCTATGGCAGCCCCGGGAGACTCATACCCTGTCCCTAAATCAACTGCAGAGAAAAACTGTGAAAGAATGTTGAAGGGGACCAGTAATGTACTAGGTGCCTTTCAGTGGAAAACTAGGTGTATTAGTTAGCTATTGCTGTGTGACAAATGACCTCGTGTGCAGCAGTTTAAAACAACATATATTATTTTTTATAATTATATATAGTATATAATATAATTATATAATAAATATATAATTATAAACAATAATAGCATTTCTTATTTCACAGTTTTGTTTTTTTGGTTTTTTTTGTTTTTTTGAGACAGACTTTCACTCTTTTGCCTGGGCTAGAGTGCCGTGGCGTCAGCCTAGCTTGCAGCAACCTCAAACTCCTGGGCTCAAGCAATCCTTCTGTCTCAGCTTCCTGAGTAGCTGGGACTACAGGCATGCGCCACCATGCCCGGCTAATTTTTTTCTATATAGTTTTAGTTGTCCAATTAATTTCTTTCTATTTTTAGTAGAGACGGGGTCTCGCTCTTACTCAGGCTAGTCTCAAACTCCTGACCTTGAGCAAGCCACCCGCCTCGGCCTCCCAGAGTGCTAGGATTACAGGCGTGAGCCACCACGCCTGGCCTATTTCACAGGTTTTCAGGGTCCGGAATCTAGGTGGCCTGTGTCAAGGTTTCCCACAAGACTGCCGTCCAGCTGTCAACCGGGGCTGTGGTCTCACCTGAAGGCTCAACTGGGGAAGAATGTTTCCAAACTCATTCAAGTGCATGTTGGCAAGATCCACATCTTTGTGGGCTGTTGTATTGAGGCCTCAGTTCCTACTGGCTGTTGGCTGGAGGCCACCTTCAGTTCCTTGCCAGGTGGGTGTCTCCATCAGGGCAAGAATGCCAGGCCGGGCATGGGGTGGCTCATGCCTGTCATCCCAGCACTTTGAGAGGCTGAGGCAAGAGGATCGCTTGAGCCCAGGAGTTTGAGACCAGCCTGAGCAACATAGTGAGAGCCTGGCTCTACAAAAATCTTTAAGAATTAGCTGAGTTTTGTGGTATGTATCTGTAGTCCCAGCTACTAGGGAGACAGAGGTGGGGGGACTGCCTGAGCCCAGGAGTTGGAGGCTGCAGTGAACTGCGATCGCACCATTGCACTCCAGCCTGGGGGACAGCACCGTCGCCCCGGTCATGTTGACACATCAAATTAACCATCGTGGGGAAGTCACTGGAGCCAGGCTGGGGGCTGCCCACCCCACTAGCATTGTCTGTGT